GTGTCACCACACCTAAGCTGTTGCCGCAAAAGTTTGCTCTCTTTGCCAATAATACTGAGAATAAGTTCGAGGTATTGACGGGACATAAGACGGGTCTCTACTCACGAATTCTCAAGTGGAACGACAATTCGTGAGTTTAATCCATATTTCAAAAATTGATTCAAAAATTATTTGCAAACTTATTTTCATGTCACTGTAGGAGTCTGTCCGTATGGACGGGTCGTTCATGTAATCTAGTGAATGGTACGAATGGTTTCCAATTCTCGCCATTAATTCAGAGAGACGACAGACTATTTGAATATTCAACTGATATTTGCAGGTATTGTGCGGCATATCATTGAGAATCAATAGCAGCACTCAATTGGTATTAATTTTTGATCACTTTTCAGATCAATTGAAATGAGTTATGAGAGTCAAGAAGATATCGATGGCATTCCTATCTATCGGTTCAGTCCGGTTGACAATGCCTTCTATAGTCCCAAACATAATATACATAACACCTGTTATTGTCTTTCACCGAAAACACCCGAAAAGTGTAATTTCATCGGCATTTTGAACATGTCTTCGTGTACCGGCGCTCCACTCATACTATCAAATCCACACTTCAGACGCACCTCCCAAGTGATCGCCAAAAGTATTGACGGACTTTCACCTGAAGAACGACTACACCACACATTCATTGAAGTGGAACCAGTAATTGATGACAAATAAGTACTTTATGTGCCATTAATTAACCAATTGTTGCACTTCTCAAAGATCTCAGGTTTGGTGACCTATAGAGCGCGTCGCTATCAGCTGAACGTTCACACGAAGAAATGTCCACTCAATCAGTCAGTATTGATATACCAATAGATTTTGATGACTATATCACTGAACCAAAACTTATGACCAGAAATGTGGGCAAAACTTTGAAAGAAGCGATCATTCCNGGCGATCGTATGTCGCGATCGGTGTCGGCCTGTGTCGCGTCCTTTGATCACTCGTATGTCAAGTACTTCGCGACGACTCGTCTCCAGCGTCGAGTGCAGGAGATCTCGCAAGAGCTCCAGGAGATGATGTTAGACCTGTTGCGCGAGTACTCGAACAGAAACAATGGCGAACTCCCGGAGCAGATCATCGTCTATAGGGATGGCGTCAGCGAAGGCCAGTTCAACGCCGCGCTCCAGCAAGAGATCAAAGCGCTCAGCAAAACATTTGCCGCCGAACGCGAGGGCTATGAGCCTCAGTTGACATACATTGTGGTCCAGAAGCGTCACCACACGAGGTATGGATTGCTTTTGAATGTGTTTTTGTCTCATTTAATGCATGTTTTGATTGAATCGTTAGATTCTTTCCGTCGAATCCGGCCGAAGGCGTGGGTCGCGCGAAGAACGTGCCGCCGGGTCTGGTGGTGGACACGGATGTGGTGTCGAAGACGCACTTCGACTACTTCCTGTGCTCGCACGAAGGCATTCAGGGCACCAGTCGTCCGACGCATTACTTCATCCTATGGGACGACAATAAGTTCACTCCGGATCAGTTGCAACAGTTGACGTTCGCCTTGACTCACGTGTACGCGCGCTGCACCCGAAGCATCTCATACCCGGCGCCCATCGCTTACGCACATTTGGCCGCATATCGCACTCAGCGACACATCATTGGCTTCAAGCAGAGGGAGGACTCGGAGTCGGGCTCTTACGGCGGGTCGTCGGTTGGTGTGGCCGCTCCACGGCGTCACGGAGTGGGCGGCGATGAGGTGCTCATGGATAAGATGAAGATCAACGCCGCCTTCAAGAGTCAGATGTACTTCTGCTAAACAGTCGACACTTTGCTTTCATTTTGTTTTAGACTTCAATTCTTATAAGAATTTCTTTTTTGTCTGTTTTTTAATTGATTTGTTTTTTTAAGCTAACAGTTAATGATTTTTTTACTTACATTTTGATTGCATTCGATGTCTTATTCAAGATATTAATTTTAATTCTTATCTCAATTTAATTAACCTTTAATTGCATTTAATGTCTTTAAATAGATTTGTTATTCTTTTGACAGCTATTTGATTGCCTTTTTAGGTAACATTTGTGATTCATAACACTTTTTTTACTTAACTTTTGTGTGATTATAACATTTTAAAATGTTTTTTTGTGATATTAATTGATTGATTTTTGTGTTTTTTGATTTTTTGCAACTAAACCGATGTAACCATTTAATGATTTCTTAAGCATTTTCAACAAAGCTTTTTATTATTCCTGTATAAGAGAACTTCCCGACAATTATCTCAATAATACTTATTACCGGTAGTAGTGTTTGATGTCAATAAAAGTTTGCATGAATTGATGGGAAATTCCTATAATTGAATAAAATTATTTTATCTATTGATAGTTGTTTTAATGATATGCTGTACTTCAATAGAAAAAGGTAATCATTTCGAGGATAACTGCTTTGTTATGCAATGATTGCATGCAATGAGTGACAAAATGTGGCATTTGTTTCATTTATTAGTTTTATAAGTGGTTATCTACTTGAAAATGAATTATTTAGTGTTATACTTTAAATTAATATTTATTTTTGACTATTATCTACAAATACAAAGTCAAAGATTAGTAAAAGTCAAGAATTCAAGCCATAGCGAGTCCATCGTATACCCCACTGACCATAGAGACCACTCTTACAATCCAATGGTTTGTATTGATATAAGTGTTACTCATATTGTAAGCTATAATTTCGTTGAATTCTGTACCCAATGATGAAGTCATCGGAGGATTCCTTGGAGTCTGTGTTGATTCGCACGAGTCATATGACAGATGTTAACGATTTGCTCCAAGAGTTAGGACTCGTGATAACTGGTCGTCTCAGAGGGTCGGCATATGGAGTACAGGCTGTATGTGCTCCTGAATTAAGGACAGTTGAATTAGAGGACTCTCCGGACGGGGACCACAACTCCATATACTTTCCCAAATGTGTGCGAATTAAACGGTGCGGCGGATGCTGTGGAGCCTCTCAGCTCTTAGAGTGCAGTCCAACCAAAAAGTCCTACAAAACCGTCAGAAGAGCCCACATTAGAATGAAGAGATCAGCAGACGGTCGACCCCTTCCTAACCTATCGCACCATTCGGTTAGTGTGGAAGAGCACGAAGAGTGTGGGTGTCAGTGCCGGGTTGGGCCCCAACAGTGCGACCCATTCCTCCATAGATACCGACTAGAGCTATGCAGATGTGAATGTCTTAACGCTAGGGATCAGTTGGAGTGCAAAAGTCTCGGCACTTATAGAATATGGGATTCAAGTGAGTGTCGGTGCAAATGCATTGTCACCAAACTCTGTTCCACTGGATATTACTTCGATGACCACACCTGCAGGTAATCATTGGGTGCTTTCATGGCTTGTATGCAGTTTTTGCATTAGAAATGAATTATAACTTACAAAATATTTTAAGTCAAATGATTGATTGAAAGTTCATGTTTTGACACTTTTTCGCATTTATTTGAATGTATTTATTTTTTATTGAATTCTATGACTTTATGCTTGCATTGAAAACAAACTGAAAAATAATTCAATGTTTCAGTTGTATTGAAGAGGAATACAAACATTAATAAAAGGACAGACACTGGGAGTCATAACACGGTTCATGTGTGGACTGGAAAAGTCATACAAATTAATTGAGTCACTGAAGGGAGAACATGACAAACGATATGATCAGTAGGTATGGCATGGATTGCATGCATATGCGAAGTAAGGTCCGCACCGTTAGCCGTATATACAATTACTCGCCGACTATGTTTCTGTTACATGTATATTTGTATTTGTATACAATCATAGAGTTTGTCAAATGGGAAAATAAAAACTTTTTTTCATCATCACCGGTATTAGTATGAGTTGTTATGACAACATTTTCAATGATTGTTTGTTGTATTTATTGTTTTTTACATTCAATATTGAATTCATATTGAGCTTATGATGTGATAGAGTGAGTGGAAAGGCAGGTACAGAATGTTAGGTAGTCTACAGAATATACACACAAACAGTTAGTAATGAGAGTTGGCGTCCAAATGCGTGCAAATGTTTTGTGCGAAACGAATAGTAATAGTATAGTAAACGAGTGGTCGGTATTGAGACGTGCGTTCATTACGTGGTGTCGATGCGATAGAGTGTGGCATTGAATGCAGGGCTCGGATCCACTCATGTCTGACGGAGACATGCATTTCAATACTTGAACCGCCAATTCATTCATAGTATTCATACAATAAGTGTGAATAGCGTTTAACCTTTGCTTTTCATTCTCATTCACACTCTCTCTCACTTTCTCTCTCTCTCACTCTCTCTCTCTCTCTCTCTCACTCTCTCACTCTCTGCTCAACAAATGAATAACTTCTCAACAACTCAGTCATGTCTTATTGATAATTGATTTTCTTGTCCACAAACCTCTCAATGATCTCAATATCCCGGCAATCATTATGTTTGAGACTTTTCTCAATGCAATTCTGATGTCAGTCATGGTTTCAGTCATATGTAGTGATCCTTCAGTAGTCGTTCGCAACGATCGCGTCTACCGTTATGTCGGCAACGGTTCCGCCGATCATTTGAATCAGCATTTGTCACCACAAGACCACAGTCAACACATCGATAACAATCATTTGCCGGCAATGAGTGAACCCCAAGTATCCCAGGTATGTATTCAAAACTTCTATTTTATTTATTTAATACAGAAAAAACTTTTTTTATTCTTTGAGTTTAATTGTTATGATATAATATTAGTGCATAATACTTGTATTATATAATAGGTATTATAGTGCTATAATTATATATTGTATACGACTTGTGTTAACTTTTATTTTATTGATATTTCTTATATTAAGTCTAATAATTTATTACTGTTATTATGTATAACTTATGACTATTATATAGGAATGAAAAAAGAAATTCTGTGAATATTTCTTTAGTAGAGCTCAAGAATTACATTTAATTGCAATCGATTTAACTTTAATACATATTCTCGTAATTATAACTCATAAATATTCAATAAAAATGTTTTATAAGCTATTATTATATTAAACAAAGAATATTTATTAAAAGATTTGATTTCATTTATATAATATCTAGTGTATGACTAAATGTTTTGATTAATTGAATTACAAAGTAATTTGATTGATTAACAGTAAATGCTTTTTGATAGGAACAGTGAAAACAAATAGTCTGATTGATCGATGAATTGTCGATTAAATTGCAATCTTTTGCTCAAATGTTATGCATTTCATTAGTGATTCAATATATTCATCAGTTTTCCATTATTTAAATTACAAGTAATGAGTTTCTCAATGGAATAACATTTTTTGTTTTATTAATATATTTAGCGTGGGTTTTGAC